CCCCCCCCCCCCCCCACCTGGCCATAATTAATACGTCGTAACTAATTTATACTATTATTTTACATGAAATATCACTTTATAAATCACAGGCGTGAACTGGCGGGAAATTTTTAAAACAAATAAACAATTCAAAATGTTGCCTTATGGCCCCAACGCCTTATCATGATATGAAAAAACTGTCCAAAAAATATTAAAGAGCGACTGTGTAAAAGACGTTGGAAACTCTTAGATCGGCGGGAATGGTATTAGCCCTTTGGCCAAAGATTGATACTTCAATCATGCTTAATGGCGGATACGGCTTTACAATCCCTGAATTCGACATTTCAATACCATAGATGCAGAAGGTTGCAAGGAAACACTGGTTAGTGGCTGTTAGTATGGAATTCATACTCTGATGAATGCTTCTTGAGAGTATGATACTTGAGAGTATGATACTTGAGAGTATCCAGAAAAAACGTTTGATTACATTCTTTCCAGTATACGACACAAACTAGAACGACAAACTAGAACGTAAAACAATTTGTCCGGGAAATGAACATAGATTGTATACAGGAATACAGCAATTTATACAAATATATTTTGTTCCTTTGTAGCATGAACAACATTCTTGATCTTTCATTTTCGTCGCCATATTTATTTACAAGTGCATTTGGGCATGCCCAGCCTAAACTTCAGGGCTAAATTAATTAAAATAATTTATGCTCCAGCGTCACATAATGTGACATGACAAGTTGCTCCTAATCATATCTGCTGCACTTAATCGATTTTGCCGAAATTAATAACCAAGTCAAATGGTTGCACTTCTGTAGAACTTAATACAACTATTAGGTTCGGTGCATGAAAAGTTTGATGTTTGACCCGGGCCTTAAATAGTTAAATAAAAATACTTAAAACTACGGATATAGATCGTACAATTACAAAATAAACTTTTGGTAAAAGAAAATTGTTAAAAATAGAATTGCTCAGTCGGAAAGGCCCCCAATCAATGGTGCAACGCAACCTCCGGAGGCCCCCCGTCAAGGGAGAAAAAAATTTTCGAACCATATTTATTAAAAAAGGTTCAAAAGTTTGCGTCTACTAAAAAAGGGGTCCAAATTTCACAATTTCACCAATTCCTGCTTTTGGCGGCCACCTGTTGCAAATTGTCTGGCCCTCTATAACGGAGGCTCGGGCCCAATTTGCCCCATGTACTAGCAAAAATTTCATGGTCCTTTTTGCCGGGGGGGGGGAGGTCTCTGGACACCACCCCCAATTGTTCAATATTTCATTTGTGTTTGAAAATGCCCTTTTTGAATCATATCTTATGGGAATTTTCTCCCCTCTTGCACCCTTTTGGCCAATGTAGGGGGTTGTGCACCCCCACATTAATCCCACCAGTAAATCCATCCCTAACCCTTTTTTATTATTAAATTAGAGTGATGAAAGCACAACCAAAGGCGAAGGAAGTCCTGCTATCTTATGTTTTAAACAGCAATGTGAAAGCACAACTGAAAGCGAAGGAAGTCCTTCTATCTTATGTTTTAAACAGCAATGCAGAAAACCGGCCCCTGCCCCTAGCAAGGTAAACAAAACAATCTATTTTGACTGCCTAACCGCTGAAAGTGTTTCGAACAGAACTTTTATATTAGTAGTATTTATTATTAATCTATTAATAATGAAATTTTACAAATTTCAACCAGAAAATGGCACTGAAATTTGAATCCTGGGAGGAAGAGGTATACAACCCTGGTGTTCCTGTTCTTCCTCGTGGTCTTGGAGTCAACAGGTTTACCAACCTGAAGTCAGAGGTAAGTTTCAGATGATCTTTATGTATATATGGAGTTTCCATTTAGTCAGTTTAAATCTGTAAACAGGGCCGTGCTAAGTGGTATCTGATTTGAGGGGGGGGGGAGAGCTGAATTAAATTGGGCCCCCTTCCTCTCGGGGACCCTTCACAAAAAAAATTCCGAGAAGCAAATATTTTTCCCTAAAATGTTTTCCAAACACAAGTTTTCGATGATGGGGACTTAAAAATACTTTTTCAGCCATTTTTCGACCTCAATGATTTCAGAAAATTCCTTAATATTTAACACAATCCGCAATTCCAGCATCCCGGGGGTCCCAGGGCAAGTTGGGCCCCCTTTTTTACTTTTCTTTGGGGATGTTACACCCCCCCCCCCAACACACCCCAATAGTTCTGGCCCTGTCTGTAAATGGCATAGTATTCGTGGAGATACGTTCATTGTTTGTTACCTATACATGTACAATGTATGTGTACTGGTGTATCTAATTTAATGTTATGTTTAGAAAAAAATCACAACGCCACCTCCTGAGCTGGTAACAGTGATTTCAAGTGATGATGACAATGACGTTCAAGTAGGTTTGTTATTATTTCGCTTTGATGAAACTATACTATTGGAATTTAGTTCTGGAATGCATTATTGATTCTCTTTGTTTTACTCTATAATGTATTCTATGTTCGTTCTGATTCTCTATAGGAAGCGGTAAACTTCAGCCACATTACGCGGTACACGGATAGAAGAGTGACGACTGAGGCGAGCTCTAGCAAAGCATCTAACAATAGAAGACTGAAGACCATGACTAGCTCTAGCAAAGTTTCTTGTAGCCATGAGGCAGAGAAAATCAATACACGTTTTGGTGGCAAGGTGGATGAAAGCTCATTAACAAGTTCAGTATGTAGTTGTCAGGTGAGTAGTTGTGTGCAAAAACGAGCCACCATGTGCACTTTCAGACTTTAAGTGGGACCAGACCAGACTTATGGATAAATTTATTGACGTCCAATGTATCTATCCGCTTTTTTACGTTGTGCAACTGTTACAGACAATTTGTCATATTAGTGAGTTTGGCCCAAGCGAAGGCATCAATGCAGCACTTGCCTTGCAATAGTAGCTCCTAATAACATTATTATTAATAATAATAACAATAGAACTGATAGCAATAATGATGATTTAAGAATTTATTAAATTTTTTTATTTATTTAAACATATTTTGAGAAATTGAGTTTGCCCCAAGAGCTTACACACTCATCAAGGGGGCTTACTTGTTACAAATTAAAAAATACACTGTCACACACACATGGTTTTTAATATTTGAAAACCAACACGATAGGTGTCAAGAATTGTTGAAATAAAAATGTGCTGTTTCTTTAATATAAGTCTGAACATAAGAAAATATTGCCGTGTTGTATTCCAACGACAGCATTTGGGAACCAAAGAGAAATATTTCCATAATTTGTTCATCAGTCAATCTTGACCACCCTTCGGGAAGTTTCTCGGCAGCGGAGGAGAACAGCTTAGACCTTTGGGCAGCAAATATTGGACAGTAGAGGAAATAATGTTTTATAGATTCAGTGTGATAGCCACACCTGCATGATGGAGACATTATACAACCTATGCTATACAAATATAAATTTAGTGCACATACACCTAAATGCAAACGAGTATGGAAGATAGAAGAATGCCTATCATTTGCAAAATTTAAAATAGGATTAGGATTACATATGTCAAATATATTTAGTAGAGTGTTCTTAAAGTATGTAATTGAATCTGTAAAACGTATCTCGTTGCTCAGATTATTCCACAATATTGTTGTGGAAGGAAAAAAGGATTTCCTAAACCGTTCTGTTCGACATGCGAAGAGTGAGTAATCTATACAATTCCTTAATTTATGTTGTGTCCTTTGACAAACTTGAAAAGGAAGTAAATCACTAAGTAACTAGGACTACAATTGTTTACAATTTTATAATATAAAGTAAGTTTGTGAATTTCCTTCTAGTTGACATACTTTCCCACCCTACTTCTCTCATGAGACGATGCTTGCTTGTTCCTTTCATAGCCCCGGTCATGAGTTTTGCTGCCTCATACTGAACGTGTTCAAGAAGATCGCTTTCACTTTCAGTACAACTGTCCCACAATACGTCTGCATATTCCATGACAGGACGAATAAGTGATTTATATAACTTACACACAGCATCTCTGCTAATTTTATATTTAAGACCTTTAAGCATGTTAAGCTTTTTATTGGCTTTCTCAAATATATTTACAATATGGGCTTTCCTTGAAAGATTTGTGGTTAATTTTACTCCTAGATGTGTATGTTGTAAGACCTCCGCAATTTTGTTATTATCAAAAAATAAATCTGGATGGTGGGGTTTAAACCGTTTTACGGAAAAAATTATACTTTCAGTTTTTTTTAACGTTAAAAGTAACAAGCCAGCGTTTTGCCCAATCACTAATCTTACTAAGATCATTATTCAATTTAACTGAAGTAATATCAGGAGACTCGACTATATCGAATAGTGACATATCATCAGCATATAATAAGGGATTTGTTTCAAGATTTTTAGTTCTATCGTTAATGTAAACTAAAAATAATAGTGGACCGAGCACAGACCCCTGGGGTAATCCGGCATTGATATTCTTCCATTGCGAAAACTGACCATCTATGACTACGCGCTGCTTTCTATCCAATAAGTGACTGTCAAACCAACTAAGCAAAGGATCTCTTACACTGATTAACTTAAGCTTATATAACAGTCCTTTATGCCATACCCTATCAAAGGCTTTGCTGATGTTGAGAAACACCACTCTTACTTCCTTGCCTAGTTTGAAAGCCTTGTATATCTTATGCGTTAAATATAAAATTTGATTAACTGTAGAATCACCTGGGCGATAGCCTGACTGCATAGGATTTAAAAAACCTATGTCAAGTAAAAAATTATAAAATCTCATGAAAACAACTTTCTCAATTACTTTTGATATATATATGCTAATAAAGATATGGGTCTGTAATTTATTTTCGATTGAAGATCGACTGTAGTTTTGGATAAAGGAATAACATTAGCCATCTTCCATTGCTCTGGGAAAACGCCAGAGGACAATGAGAGGTTGACCAACTGTGTGAAAACATTTTTTATGCCATCTGCACTAACCTTGATTATTTTATTACTGATTCCGTCAGGACCACAAGCTTTAGTTGTGTCCAAACGTCGAAGTAAACAGTTTATTTCACTTTCAACGGTGGTAATATTGGACAAGGAAGTAGTTGACTGAAATGGAACTATTTCATGAGGACGAATTGCAGCACTATCGTCAATCATGCTCTGACTACTAAAATAGTCATTCAATAATTTTGCTTTAGCTCTAGCATCGCTTATTATATTTTGACCCTCAATAAGCGTTGGTACAGCAACACACATTTTTTGTCCGTAAAGTGACTTAACAATTCCCCACCACTTTTTAGGACTTATTTTGGGATCACCAAGGTCCTGGTTTAGACTGGCATAATATTTAACTTTGTTTGATCTAATTAAACTGGTCGTTCGATTTCTTTGTATCCTATATTTTTCCCAAGATGCTGGCGTTTTATGTCTTGAGTACCTTTTTAATAATCGGTTATGTTTTCTGATAGCTCTCCTAACGTTGCCATCCATCCACGGTTTATCGTGCGGACGAATAATGACTGTTTTTCGGGGAATATATTCCTCAACAACATGTTGGAAACTTGAAAACCAATTATTAAATATAATATTCACATTGTCGCTACCAGTAAAACATCTTTCCCATTCATAATTTAACAAAGCATAGTTTAATTCTGCTTCGTCAATATTTTGAGAATTCCAAACTGTGCGCTTAAAACATTTAAGTTTTGATAAAAGAATACTTAATTTAGTGTACACTATACAATGATCACAATTTGCCGGCGGACTTAGGGTGCCTGAACTTACAAAATAACCAGGGGAATTAGTAATAATTAAATCTAAACGTGTTGAACCAGTTGACGTTATGTGTGTTGGTTCATTTATAGCTTGAAATAAAGAAGATCGTCTGCATAATACTAAGAATAATATCAATTCGGTGATTTAGCCGCGAGTTAAATAAAACTTATATTGCAAAGTTAGGTATTAATCAAATCAAAATCGCGGGTGTTGAGTATCGATAAGGCAAAAAAAAAAATATGTGGGTTTCCGGTTTCTTCTTATAAAAACTTAGGTAGGGTAGGTCGGTTTTAACTTTATTTTTAAACTTTTTTTTAAATTTTCCGAACAAGCGGACACCATTTTGTTTAGTCAGTGCTTCCACATCGAAAGATAAATTTCCCTAATATTGCCTCAAATTTCAATTTTCCACAAACGTTTTCCTCTAAGTGGAAACACTTACAAGCATGATCCAGTAAAAAAGTTTAGGGTCGGAATTTCGACGTTCAAAAGCTAGGTAGGGTCGGGAAACCGGAAACCCACATATTTTTTTTTTCCTAAATCAGTTACTCGGAACCTACAACTTTTATCTAGGAACCCACGACTTTTATCTAGGAACCCACGACTTTTATCTAGGGACCCACGACTTTTATCTAGGGACCCACGACTTTTATCTAGGGACCCACAACTTTTATCTAGGGACCCACGATATTTTACCCACAACATTTTACCCACGACCCACAACTTTTTACCCACGACCCACAAATTTTTACCCACGACCCATGACTTTTTACGTGCAACCTTTTACCCATGACCCACAACTGTTAGCTAGTCCTCTTGCAGACAATGCCTTTTAAAACTTGTTTAAAATGTGCTTGATACCATTATGTCTGAGCTGCCGTACATATTTGGAAGGATTTCAACAAAAGTGGCAATGAACACCAAAGTAAAGTGGAGAATTTGGCCAAATACATCCATTTGCAGGAGGTAGGTACATTTCAAATTATTATTTCAGTCACAAAGTATTAACTATTTTATAGCAAAGCAGTGATAATATACTTAAATAAGTACCAATTAGCTTTCTATAAAAAAGATTTAGGAAAAAAGGTAATGTAGGTCCACTGCTGTTTATCTGAATTTGCAAGTCACAAATCGACGTTTGACTATAAGTCTCTTGTGAAATATCAGTGCTAGGCATTTCACACTTACCAATGACCACCCCTAAAAGCACCATCTCTGAACCATATAAGCACCTCAGAATAGCCAAAGCTTTTATAGTTTGGTAGATTAGGGGCTTTAGGGGCTTCGGTGGCCAAGTGGTTAGCGCACTTGCCTTTCACCTCTGAGGCTGCAGGTTCGAGTCTCACTAAGTACCCTCTCAGTGCGACTCGAACCCAGTCCCCATGTGAAAAGAGTAAAAGTCAATGCTCTGCCGAAAGCCGTGGGTTTTCTCCGGGTACTCCGGTTTCCTCCCACTGGAAAAGCTGACAGGGTGGGTTAGGTAAAAAGGGCCCACAGTAATTGGCATATGCTGTTGTGGTGACCCTGCCCTAGTTGGCAAAGCTAAATAAATAGATAGCACTATGGTGAGAGCATCGTTTTTGGGTGTGGTCAATTTCGGACGTTTTACCCTGGATTGGGGTTCGGGGGCAGCATTACCATGTCAATTGTCATTGTCAACTTGCCCTAAAACAGTTGAGATTATCTGTCCTAAATAAAATGCATACAAACTCATACAGGTTCTGGACTATTAGGAAATCAAGCAATTTTTAAAAAACGAGTTTCTAACAAATAATATTTGTTGATTATTTTCAGCATGAATAAACAGACTTGTTAGTTGTTACAGTAACATTTAATAATTAAACTGTAAACACGGTTAATAGAACTATATGTATTACTAACTGTGATCTAAAGGCACAGGTAAACCTAACTATATTTGGTGCTAGAATAACAAAATACATATATTTAACTGCTGGGTGTATCTTGTGTGGTTGTGAAAAAGCCGATCATAGGAAAAGAACTAAATTAAATGGGAGGGTATCTGATTTGCAACACCGAACTTAAGGTGGTGCTGAACTTAAGGTGCCTCCCTAGGGTTTTTGAATTTACTACACTATAGTATTCAGGAGACTCCTGTTTCTTCACTTTACATGACGACGAAATTTATTGGACACATTGACAATGTTCTCCTGAACATTGCAAATTGCTACTTTTGTGTTAAAAATCTGTTGTCATGGCAACAGCATGCATAGAATAAAGCTCAAAATTTGTCTTTTTCAGGTTATTTTAAAAATTCCCTTCAGTGAAATTTTTTAAACCTTTGCATAAAAGATAATACTTGTATAATTTTCCCCCCTCAATTTAAAAAAAATAAATCGATACGTTTTAGAAAATTTAAAAAACGTCAAAAATCAATATAAAAAATTTTCCCTTTGATTTAATTTTAAGAAAAAAGGATAGTGCACTCGTTGTGCCGATATTAAAACATGTGCAAAGTTTTAAAAAATTTCACCAAAGGAAAAAGGACAAATTTGGGTTTAATTTTGGCAATTTTTGCTAAATTTTCACACGAACAATTTAATACCCCAACTGATGTGTACATGCATTTTGTATAAAACAACAAGGCATGACTTTTTTGAAATTACAAAATATAAATTCTGTTTGAAAAACTGTTTATAACTGTGTCGGTTAATGGTCAACTAAGCGTGGATTATACATACAAAATTGGCAAAGATATTGAGGTAATTATTGGTTATGATTTCTTGGTATTAATTTGAAAAATGTTTGTCAAAATTCATCCCGTGCAAGTTTACTAGTACTATCGTCGGATGTTTTCGAAAAATGCCCGTTCAAATTTCAGTTTTTATAGTGGTATGTTTGGAGTTTCGGCCTTGCTCATTTCACCCGTAGAGGGCTCATTATTTATGTCATCTTTATTGTCATAAGTGCTGCTAGATTGTGAAAACTACATTTGGAGGAAGAAATTGCGATAGCTGAGGGTCGAGAAGAAATGCTTTTGAAGTTGGAGCAAGAGATGAGCCTGAAAGACGGTATGAATCAATATCACGAACAGTATGTGTTATGACTCCGTCCTGTACAGCGAATATTCCTTCTACGTCATTCGCCCCGAATATTCCTTCTACGTCATTCACCCCGAACATTCCTTCTACGTCATTCGCCCCGAGTATTCCTTCTACGTCATTCGCCCTGAGTATTCCTTCTACGTCATTCGCCCTGAATATTCCTTCTACGTCATTCGCCCCGAGTATTCCTTCTACGTCATTCGCCCCGAATATTCCTTCTACATCATTCGCCCCGAATATTCCTTCTACATCATTCGCCCTGAGTATTCCTTCTACGTCATTCGCCCCGAATATTCCTTCTACGTCATTCGCCCGAGTATTCCATCTACGTCATTCTCCCCGAATATTCCTTCTACGTCATTCACCCAGAACATTCCTTCTACGTCATTCGCCCTGAGTATTCCTTCTACGTCATTCGCCCCGAATATTCCTTCTACGTCATTCGCCCTGAGGATTCCTTCTACGTCATTCGCCCCGAATATTCCTTCTACGTCATTCGCCCCGAGTATTCCTTCTATGTCATTCGCCCCGAATATTCCTTCTACATCATTCGCCCTGAGTATTCCTTCTACGTCATTCGCCCCGAATATTCCTTCTACGTCATTCACCCGAGTATTCCATCTACGTCATTCTCCCCAAATATTCCTTCTACGTCATTCGTCCCAAATATTCCTTCTACATCATTTACCCCGAATATTCCTTCTACGTCATTCGCCCCAAATGTTTTCTTTTACGTCATTCGTTTCGAACATTCCTTCCACACCATTTGTCTCAACTATCTCTGGAACAGCGTTTCCTGCGAAGAAACAGGCGTCGAAGTTCACTCCCAATGTTCGTGCACCTATATTCACTCCAAACATTCCTGCAACTAATGCTGTAAGCAAAAGATCTGTGACTTTTGTCAATGAGCATCGGCAGAGTCTTCCAACATACTCACCACCGTCGTTTTCATAAACCGATTCAGCATCACCTATTATTACCTCATCCTACCCTGGTTTGCGTCATACCAACCCTGGTCCTCGTCTGTCACCAAGAGTCACTAGTACATCCTGGGATCAAACCATTTCTACGCAAGCAAGGATCAGCAACGAACCATCCGTTGTCTATCAACCATCATTTGAATCAAGAATACCAGTACCTTTACCGACAACTGCTAACCGTGTGCAACCAGACGCATGGGAACAAGCTAGTCAAGTGTCGATTCCAAGAACCAATGAAGACCAGTTTGGCGTGTTGATCATGCAACAAAATCAACGAAGTCTTATTCCACGTCTTGCATTGTCTAAGTTCTCTGGAGACCCCACAGAGTACAATATTTTCATTCAAGGTTTTAACTCGCAGTTCCATAATAAGCTGAACTCTAACTCAGATCATTTACGATATCTAGATCAGTACCTCGAAGGTGAAGCTAAAGAATTGGTCAAAGGATGTCATTACATGGATCCTGACATTGGTTATGCAGAGGCGAGAAGGCTGATTGACGAGAAATATGGTGATCCGTACAACATTTCTAATGCATTTATTAAGAAGATGACTGAATGGCCAATGCTTAAACCCGGTGATGATGATGGCTTAAACCGATTTTCTACCTTCCTAACACAGTGTTTCAGTGCTATGAAATCGTTGTCGTATTTAACTATATTGGATCATCCTCACAATTTGCAAACCTTGGTCAAGAAGTTACCATTCCACCTTCAAGATCGACGGAGACGTGTCGCAAGTAAAGCGAGAGTCAGACATAGGAATATGCCAAGCTTCGACTCGTTTGCTAATTTCATTAAAGACGAAGCTAAAGTGGCAACAGATCCAATCTTTTCTCGAGAAGCTCTGAGAGTTCAAAGTTCTGACAGAGTAAACAACAAACGCAAGCCCCCAAATTATAAAGTAAGAACTAATGCAAGTGGAATCTTGTATCCACTGTAAAAAGGAACATGACTTGGACGATTGTGATGAATATTTAAAGAAGAGCATCGGTGAAAGACGAAAATTCCTTGCTGAGAAACAGTTATGTTACTTGTGTTACATGCCTGGTCATAGATCTAGAGGTTGTTCACAAAAGAGAACATGTAAGACTTGTTCACGCCGTCATCCTACTGGCCTACATGTTGAAAACTTTCAGCCTATTGTGAAAAACCTGCGAATGATAATGTTGCGAAGAATGTGGAATCAGCCTTGACAACCATTACTGCAAACAGTATGACCAGAAAAGTACGAGAAGAAGGACCTGTCGGATCTATGCCGATAGTACCAATTATTGTACGATCAGCTGAAACAGAGTTGATAACATATGCGATGCTTGATAACTGCAGCACCGGTACGTTCATTCTAGAAGATCTGCGACAAGAGCTTAACATAGACGGAGTAGATTCACAAGTTTCAATAACAACTATGAATGGTAACCAACTACACAATGTGAAAGTAATAAGAGGCTTGGCTGTATCTGACCTGGATGGCAACAATTCAATTTCTCTACCTAAAGCTTTTAACAAGCTCAAAATGCCCACAACCATTCAAGATATCCCCAGACCAAAGCAAGCGAGAAAATGGCCACATCTGGTGCGTGTAGCTGATTACGTCCATCCATTAATACCAAATGTCAAGATTGGCCTCTTAATTGGAACAAATTGCCCTGAAGCCATTGAACCTAAAGATTTTGTGATAAGTATGAATGGCGGTCCATATGCTGTTCAAACGTTTGCTGGCTGGACTATCATTGGACCTCTTCATATGTCAAGCAATGGTCCTGCGACGGTCAATTGTAATCGGATTGTTGCAAAAGAGATTAGTTCAGAAGTACCAATGGATCATCATTTCGCTGTTGATCAGGTGGTGAAAGAGATCCTTACACCAGAAGCATTAAACAGAATGATGGAACTTGATTTCAGAGAAAGAAAAGTCAGTAATGAACATGGTCTCTCTCAAGAAGACAAGTTATTTCTTAAGAAAGTTGAACAAGGAACCAAGAAAGTCGAAGGACACTATGAAATACCACTTCTTTTCAGAGAAGACGAAGTCGTTATGGCCGACAACCGAAGTCAAGCAGAACGAAGAGCGCATTGGATAAAGAAGAAATAGATAAGGTCCGCGTCGTATTCGATTGCAGCACCCGATTCGAAGGAACAGCTTTAAACGATAGACTGCTTCAAGGACCAGATCTGACTAATTCTTTGATAGGAGTGTTGGTACGGTTTCGGCAAGAACCAGTGGCATTTATGGGAGATATAGAATCGATGTTCTATCAAGTGCGAATACCTGACCATCAACGCAATTTTGTCCGCTTTCTGTGGTGACCCGATGGTAACATATCGCAAGATCTTGCTGAGTATGAAATGAACGTTCATATGTTTGGCGCAGTATCGTCTCAAAGCTGCTCGAATTTTGCCCTCCGTAGAGCAGCTGATGATTATGAGTACAAGATTGGAACGGAATCCGCTGATGTGCTCCGACGAAACTTCTATGTAGATGATTGTCTCTGATCAGACAAGACGGTGGACGTTGCTATCAAATGAATGCACAGTGTTATAGATGCTTGTGCCAACGGAGGTTTCCACCTAACAAAACTTACATCAAACGACCGAACAGTATTGGAGACCATCCCTGCTGAAGAACGAACAAAGGAACTTCGAAGTTTGGATCTTAACCATCATGATCTACCCATAGAAAGAGCACTCGGCATTCACTGGCATGTTGACTCGGATAAATTTGGTTTTCGTATTATCATCAAGGACAAACCACTAACTAGAAGAGGTATTCTTTCTACCATTGGCTCTATCTATGATCCTTTAGGGATAGCAGCTCCAGTGTTACTTCCAGGCAAGATGATTCTTCAAGATCTTTGTCGAGAGAAAGCGGATTGGGACGATAAGATATCAGAAACGTATCGTCTTCGTTGGGAAGAATGGAAAATAAGTTTACCCCTGTTGGAAGAATTTGATCTGAATCGATGTTATAAACCAGATACATTTGGGACCAAGCGGCGTTCGCATAACGACCGCAAAGCAGTGTGGGAGAAGGTTTTCCAATATGGCGGCTAATGAGTGAAAAATAGGTGAGTTTTCATGCACGTTTTTCTATTACTAATAATGAGTATGTTCATACGTTTTTTACAGGATATAATTCTTACATGTGTTTTGAAATCTCGAAGATTCTTTTTATTTTGACACAATTACCCTATAGAAGTAATTTTGATATATCTTTGTGCACATGTTTTCGCATAGTAAATTGACCCTTAGATTTGGTTACATTTTGTGAGTTACTCATGGCAGTTTTAAATCCAAATACAGTCTACATAGGTTCTACGACATTTTTCCTTGTTGTAAATACAAACGCTCCCCAACGCTCCCCATTACTTCGCGCACTTC